GCTTTCATATGGAAAATATCAAATGTTTTTATTAAGTTTTAAGTTTTGTAAAGCAATGTTTTTCTCATGTCTATTTTTTCTTTTCGCATCTTGCCTATCTATGATACAAAGTAATATTCATTTTAAGATTAAAAATATTTATGTATCAGAATATTTTGAAATTTCACATGCAAAATCTTTATAATGTCGAGATAGTTATCAAACGTTTCTTAGGAAAAAAACTTGTTATTTTCAGTAATTAATCTCTGTACGGGTTCGGTATATTTTCCCGATCTCGCAACCACCATAAAAAATTAGGAAATACATATAAGTTATGCCTCTTTCATTCTAGAATGAACACAAATTATAACACAAAAACATATTGTATGATGATATTACCGACTCCTTTGGCCTGGGCTAGCTCTTGACACATCTAGCAATATTAAAAAAATTCTGAATTTCTCCTAGTGTGAGAAATGTGACATTTTTTCTTTAGGCATCCCCTCTTCTCTAATTTAATTACCACCCCCCCCCCTCCAATAAGTAGAAACTTTAACATAAATTACCCAGTATAATATCGTTATCGCTCAGACAAAGCATAATTTTTATTAGCCTTCAATTTTATTTGGTTACATAGCCATCCAATAAAAATCTTCTCCTTCAGGATTTGTCAATAGTTATCTATTACATTTAATACTGTATTACTTATAAAGCCAAGGTTTTCATCTATTAAATGACACAGTTTTCTATACGGAGAATCATCAATTTCTCTTTCAGTACAAGCTTTTGTTCCTACGGAAAAGAAAATGATTAGCTTTGGTGAATTTGTAATGGCTGTTATCACATAGCTAGAAAACCAGAAAAATTGTAACAGTTATGGGACATTGTCAGCTTTTTGCATGTTATTATTCAATGTACTTTGTGCATTACTTGATTAAATAAAAATTATTTTGTGCACTACTACCATTAATATAAAAAAAAGTAGGGTTAAGTGTCATCAATAGTCGACAGCAAAAAAGAATACCCAGGTAAGTACTTTATTTCTTGTTTTTCATATGTATTCTTTACTTATTTATAACCATAAAAGTAACTAAAATGTAAAAATAAGAAACTCTTTAGATTAGTTAATGTAAGGTTAAGAAAAATGAATAATATAATAAAAAGTTTTCACGAGGCACGCATGTGAGCAGCTTGGAGTAGTTTGTGGGTAATGTAATTTGATAGTTGGTAGTTCTCTCTTATGTTTCATTATATATTACCTATAACCAATAGTAAATCAAGGTTTTTATCTATCAAATGATGTATTCTATGACATTGTGCTCTGAACAGATAATCGTTAATTTCACTCAGAGTAGCAACATCATTCCCATGGGAAAATTAACGACTAGCTTGGATGAATTTTTAATGGATCTTGTTGCATAGTTAGAAAGCCAGGAAAATTTTGAGAGGTTAGTGAATTTGTCTACTTTTTGCATGTTAATAGTTTATATTCTTTGGTGCAATATTTAATTCAATAAAAATTTTTTAAGTGCATTACTATAATATATTATAAAAAATCAGGCTTAACTGTCCTTGACAATCGAGGGCAAGAAAAAAGAAGATTGGGTAAGTACTTTATATCTTGTTTTTCATATTTATTCTTTATT